GGTGGCCGCGCGCGCGAGGTTTCCGTGCCGGTGGGGTGGGGACGGTATTGAGGCGTCCCCATCGCGTGGTTCCGCGTGATGAGGTCGCTTTCTTTCGCGTCGGTCTCTAAACTCGGTGAGGGTAGGGAGGGGGCGGCGGTGGCGTCCTCGTCGGTCTGCGACGACTCCTCGTCCCCGATGTCTCTACTGCCTAATTGCTTCTCTAACTGTAATCGCCGCGCGTTCAGGCGTTCCTGAATCATCTGGATCCCCAGATGGGTTTTCATGACGCGGATCTGCTCGCGCTGGGACTCGATGGTTTTACTTTGCTCTGACAGCAACATATTCTCGACCAGCATCTGCTGGCGCAGTGTGTTCAGCTGATTCCGATGGCTACTCAAGAGATCGTCTTGTTGCTTAACTTGCTTGGTTTGCATATCCAGCTGCATGCGCTGGGTGGTGATGATATGCTGCATGGTCGTAAGCTTGTCTTCATAAGTCGAAATGCGCGATTTCTGACTATGTAGTAATGCATTCTGAACATCGTTTTGCTCCTTATGCTTACGGAGGAGGTTGTTATACAGCTCGGATTGCGTGCGCAGCGCAGTGAGGCGTCCATAAAGACTTTGCAGCTCCTCGGCTTCGGGAAACAGACTTCGAAAGGTTTCCAGCGTTTTCGACTTCGCGTAGCGCTCTTGAAAGTCGCGAAGTCCCCAGGGCTGCTGGGTGATCCGCTTGAGCTCCAGCCCGATGAAGCGGTCTGGAAAGGCATTTTTTTTTCCACCTGTGTCTTTTTCCTTCTTTTCGTCCTCACCGCCGTGCCTCGGCTCTGGCACACACGGGGTATCGGCCGATTGAGGCTCCTTTTTTTCCTTTTTTGCGGATGGCTCCGGGCAGGTAGGAGGCTTTCCCTCCTCTTCTCCCTCCTCCTGTGCTGTCGTCGTCGCCGCGTTGGACGGTTCCAGACGTTGGAATAGAAAGCCAAGCGGCATATGGCAGTCCGGGCACTCCACCCGATGGATGTAACGAAAGCGGTTAAACCACATCGCCCACCCGGCCGACGTCGTTCGTCTTCGCACCGTTACGAAGGCCTCGTCGAGGGAAAAGTTTCCCGGCCCCTCCCACCGCGTTAACGGCGGCGGAACGGCAATCGCGTCGAGAATCGCCTGTGGGAGCTGCGGCGGACTTTGCACGGTGGTCGAATCGCGGCGGGGGTCGCCTTCCGTGGTGCGCCGCCGCTCCCTTGTGGAGTCTATACTCTCTTCACTCTCATCCTCACTGGAAGGGATGGTTGGGGCGGTTCGATTTCGTGGTTTGGATTCCCCTTTTGGGCTCACCCACGCACTGCGGTCCTTCGTCGAGAGTTTCACCCCCAAGCCAAGAACGTGTTCATCCAAACAGACGAGATCAACCCGCGCCTCTGACATCGTCCCGTAGCACCGCAACGGGCGCGTGGTGCCGTTCGTTAAGTTGCTAAGGCGTGCTAAGGTGGCCTCGTAGCTCGCCGAGGCGGGCGCCGACTCCTGCACTCCCTCCCCTTCTCTTTCCCTCTCCCCTTCTCTTTCTCTTTCTCGTTGCTCGCCGCCACGACGGGTTTCGGCGTCTTCGTGAGGGCTGTCGTCGTCGCCGTTGTCCTCCCTCCCCCCCCCGTGCGAGGGATCCCGCGCCTGAGGCGGACGAAGGCGAGCGATCACGGAGTTCTCCTGCTCCCGCGCGGTGGCGTGGGATTCCATCACGGATTCGAGCGCGAGCAGCCGCGCGGCGGACGCGAGTGGGATATCCAAAATCTTCCCGGAAACACAGAGCGATGTGAGGATGGTTTCATCCGCGCTGTAGCACGGTACACTGGCTCCACGAGGGGGGTCGTCGTTGGCGGGTTTACCCCCATTCGTGATCCCGCCCGCCCCTTCCGCGTCGTCGAGGTCCAGAAGGCAGTCGAGGTCGTAGCGGAAGGCGTACGCCGTCGTTCCGCCATCCACGGAATCAAAAAGAATACTCTCAGAGGTGCAAATGGGATATTTGCAACGTCCACACGCGAAGCACATCGAGAGGTGCTTGGAGGTTGACTCCGGCAAATCCGCCGTTGATTCCAAAGTCAACTCCGGGGAGTCCATGACGTGTTCACTCATGTTTCCCGTGTCCCCGAAGAAAAGAAAAGTAAATGGAAAACTATAACAAAGGCAGCCAATTAGCTGCAAAAAATTTGACTCTGCTTGCTTTACCTGTGATGACTATTTGTGACGAGAAACCGTTATGGGGTTGAATATGCCAAGAAAGAAAGGGGTACATGGGGAGTTTGTGTGTAGAAATGTAAGTAAATCGAGCGTATTGCAATCTGTGCTAATATATTCCCATTCCCCCTTCGTTTAGTTTCCCTTTTCTTTGAGTTGGGTATGTATGCACCAGAAGGAGGAGTATATTTTAACTTACCAAGCGATGGACTTTATTTATATTGGTCTTCCTTCTTCTCCCTCTTCACAGAAGAATGGATACCAAGGCTTTAATCACCTCATTCACGAGGTTCGCTTTACCTTTTTATTTTACGGACCGCCTTTCTTTTTAAGCATGGCCTCATCGTCCACCATCGCACAAGTCGTCTTGTCGTCTCGAAGTTTACACTCCCAAAACGTGGTACCCTCCGGAATTGGATGAGATACAATACGCCACTTATTGCACAGATCGCATTGAACCCAATAGATGACTTCACTTTGGGGGTTATGCCTTGGAGGTCGACCTCGCTTGCGCTTCACCACTTGAGCCGTTTGCTTTTCCACCTTTGAGTTCGTTAAAGCCCGACGCGATGACGAGGAGCCCGTTTCACTCAGAACGGATTGCGTGGTTTTATCCCCCACGCTTTGACTTTCGCCCTGGTTACTGCTCTCACACTCTTCCAACTTCACCAACGACGTCTGGGGGGTGGTCCGTCGACGCCTTGATGGGACTTCCGCTGAAACGTTGCTATCGCCATTTGGGAGTATTGTAGTGGGAAGGGCCGCCTCTTTCTCTTGAATTTCCCTGGAAGTTCTACGCGATCTCATCCCGGGCGTTTGTTCATTCAACTCCACTCCTTTTCGTGGCTTAAATTTAGGAATGGTAGGGGGAAGAGAATTCGGCACCATCGTGGAATTCACCACTCCCACTGCTGGTGTTGGTGTTGTTGTGGAGGGGGGAGGGGGTTCACGTTTCACCTCTTCCGAAGGTTCTTTGAGGCTGCTCGCGGCGGCGACGTCGTTCGCCTCCCCCTCCTCCTCTTCCCGCACCTTCGTGGGCTCCTCAAGGAAAGACCCCTTTAAGACCTCATCGCGCTTCGTTCGAATCTCCCGTGGGATGGTCATGATTTGCTTGGCAAACGAGCCTAGAAGGCGCTTTCGCATCCGCGCGGAGAGGTCTTTTAGCAAAGGCAACGCCCCTTCAATCTGGGGTTTCCCTTGAACATCGTTAGGGCCGTGATTTTTCGAGCGTTTCGCGGTGGAGGAGGTCGGCTTGGAATGGGGTTCGGCGGTGTGTTCGAGCAACGCCAGCAGCCGTCGCCCGACCTCCGAGCGCAGCTCCTGCAACAGCGGCTCTTCCTCCTCCCCCCATTCGGGCAACCCAAGCGCCGGGGTGGGATTCCCCTCCCCTTTTTTCCCCGTTTCCTCGTAGATCTCCCCCTCTCGCCGTTTCAGCGGGTAGGGAAGAATCCCGGAAGCGAAGGCCGCGCGTCG